TATATATATATATATAAACTGACAACGTGTTTTTGCCAAGAGAGAATAATATATTAATAAACATAAAAAAATGTCAATTATATCTATTACTCTATCCTACTACTTTTTATTTATGTTTTTCATTTCGCCTAGTATTGCAACTGACGTATTACAAACGCTTCTTTGCGGCTTAAACGCTCGTGATTTTTGAACACTGCAGGTTGTATCGCGGAACGTTTGGCATTTAACAGGCTTTTGTTTATGATAAAATTTCGCCAGGTTCGTGTTCGGCGATTTCCATAGCTGACTGTTCAATATTAAACGCACTGCCATCTCTATATACCATATACTGGCTACCGGATATATACATAGAATACAGCCACTGGCAATCGGTCATAGATGTCATGTAATGATGATCGTGCGATATCTGACCTCCGCGTGGCACTATAGCGACATTAGGGTTGGTATGTATAATCGGGTGTAGAGCGAGGTATGATTGGACGTATGTGCGAGATGTCAATTTCGACAGTTTCCTTCTTGATGTCTTCTGAGCAATAAAGTTATCTCCGTTTAATTGATTTAGAAATACGAGAATGATACATATGGGAAGAATTTTTGAATGCATAAATCTTCAAAAATTATATAGTAAAATAATTGTTAGTGCTTTTAAGTAGTGAAAAAATAATGAACAATAAAACGTAATTCAAATTTTTGAAAGTTTACAAATTGTTGTTGAAAATTGGAAATCTCGAGATAAATATCTCGTGACGAGAATATATAAATATCTGTGACAAGAATGATAATGATGTAGTACATACTAGATATACGAATTGTTTATCTAGTGGTTGACATATCTGTATATCAATGCAGCAACAGGCATATTGACAAGCGCGACGAGATGGATGATTTTTCAATGCTTATAGCGTCACGTTTGCTTTGAAAATTCACGGTTAATGGAATATTTGAAAACTGTCATTTCGGTATCGTTAAATCGATCCGGAAGTTCCTCTACGGGAATACACATTCTATGATAAAAATGGCTTGTAGAAGCGCGTTAATCGGTGACGGTGCGTGTGTATCCATCGTTGCATATGTAGATATATGTATATCCATTAGCAGCAATGGATTTTCTAACGGATCGTCCCATACATCACAGCATGAGACTCACGAATTTCCCTCGGGTTATTATCTCTACATATATCTATATTTTTTTACTAGCGTTATCATAAATTTATCGGAGCTTTTACACACAAAACACCTTGCAACAATTTATATATTATTTAAAATTGGTTTATTATCAAATTAGTCATGCATCGATTTAGATTGTCGAATATATCGTTGTTTTTTAATGAATTATTCATGAATATTCATGAACGTTCTTAAGAATATTTGATAAAATTTCTATCGAAAAAGAGTTGAACTTTTTTACTACTTTTAATAATGTTTTTAAATATTATATATTTTTTTAAAGATGATATCGATATTTTCCTCAGAAAAAGATCAAATTTTTTGAAATAAATTTTGTTTAAAATTATATTTAGATTAGGCGTTAGATTATCGATGGTTTTCGTAAAATCATGCAGGAAGCATTGACCGATAATTCACCGGCAAAACTCGATGAACGGTATTCAATACAAGAAGAATACGAAAAGAAAAGTTGCAGGAACCGAACCGAGAGCGAATGGCGAGAATCTAATATCGGGAATTGCATTTGACTTCAATTGCACTTCCCCTACCTAATGGCACGGTGACAGAGACGGGGGAAAAAGGTAAAAGTTACTTCTTCTTTGCGCAAATACTTTTTTCCCGTTGGAAAATGCGCTGACGCGCTTTTGATCCTGGAACAAATCTGCCCGCTGACGTTTACTATGAATCCATACGGATGGTACTGGATCGCATTATCGAATGTGCTTTATCGTACGAGAGGATGACGTGAATGCATTTGGCATAAAGATATAGCTCGACATTTTGGCGAAAATTTACAAGAGAATCGGGCTTTCATTTATCCTCTTATCGAAATATAATTATCTCATTGAATAGAAAAGTTGTTATAATATCCAGAATTAATTTAAACTGTTGAAGCAATTCGAGTTGAGTATCTGAATGTACTTATGCAAATATTATATATTTATACAGTGATAGATGGTAAGCAATAAACGAGAAAATTAGCTCCGTGGCATATGAATGTTATGAGTTTCTGAGAGCTACAACAGTCTTTAAAAGCTAATTTCTGTTTGAATAAAACTTGTATCTTAGGGCACACGTATATAGTAATAAAACTCTTTTAATTTAAATATCGATTTTTTACAAAAGTAATAATAATACAAAGAGAAATAAGTATGTTCTCGCAAGAAGTAATTTTTTACGAGAAACACAGATTGTTCTTCTGCAAAATAACTTAAAAATTTATATGATATTCTTTAATCGCGCAGCTGTTTTGAAAATACTGCGTCTAAGACGTGAGAGGATAAGATTATCTTCCCTTGTTCCTGAAGACTCACCATTAAACTAATTTCTTCTTCGAGTCCGAAAATTTCTAAGAGTTCGCAATTTGGTAAGCCGACCGCGAGACTTTTTAAGTCTGTTGCCGATGGCAATGCGATTTCCTGGTTTTGTTTTCCTATAAGAAGCACGCTTGCTTGAATGCTCCGCCAGGTGCCCTTTCGCGAGTTCTCGTCACTCTCGGAAGCTTGCTTCCGCGACTTTCAACGAGCAGCTGCGGAGTCGTGAGATTTTCGCAGATATCCTGCGGGCATTCGCGACATTTCCACTTTAAATTCACCGCAGGTTGTTAGGAACGGCTCAGTGGGAGTTTATATTTATATTTTCTCTATATAAAAATATATTTTGAACTGGTACCCGCTCCGAAGAATTCTAAATTGTGCTTCGCGTTGAATTTTGAAGGTATCGCTGTTATCTTTTTAGTATTTTCGACGTTGTTCTATTTATACCTGTCTAGATTCTTATCGTGCTGGCAGGCAATTTTTCACGATATGAGATCGAAACGAACCATGTCGACATGATAGCAAAAACGTTGGATGGTGTGTTCTATGATCCTGTGTATTAATTACATTCTTATGGTATAAAAGTATATCAGTGATAGCGATAAGATGGGACTTTCAAGCAAAAGCATCACAAATTGCGGCGATACGCAAACGGAAAGATATCAGGAATATACTATTAGAAACTATCTATCTTCTGAAGCTTTGAAATTTAATGGAATAAAGTGATTAGTACAGAAAAGTCCGTTACTAAATATTGCATGCGGCATACGATTACAGATGACCCACAATTCATGGTTTTATCTCAACAAAAAAGCAAAGCCTTTTATAACAAAAATTTTTTTATATATTAATTGCATTTTTATATTTAAATAATATATTATTATAATCTCTTTAACTTTTTGTTTTTATCTCTCTTTAATTATGTTTTTATTAGAAGAGACCGCTCTCGGTTTTTTTGCCGTTTATTTAAATATATAATAATTTCATATGCTCTTTCTATTAAGTAAAGAATTTTTTATATATACATTTTATTCGATTATTGAGAATTAAAATTATTATTGCTTTCCAACATATTAACGTCAATTGTAGCATAATTAATTTTTTTAAATTGATTTATCTTTATTGTAATAATTATATTGCATAAATCTAATTATAGTCTCTTTCTTTGACAATATTAATTAATCATTAATATTGTTGAAGTCTATGATTAAATTTATGCCATTATTAATTATTATGGGAGATTGCTTTATGTATAGTTGTTGATAGTTATAACATGTATAATACAAATATTAAAAGCTCGTTTTGCAAGATATTGATTTCTTCTCCGATAATATCTCATAATGTCATTTCAATTAAATATGATAACTGCGCTAGTTGCAATATATGATACCATAATAGGAGATTAACGCGGTAATTTAGCAATTTTATTAACCAACGCGTTTCCATACAATAGCAAGAAAATAAATCCCGACTTCAAAGTTAATAACGCATTTATTGATATGTCGACAATTATGCGGATTCGCGTGTTTGTATAATATTATTACGACGTGATAATATGCGATAATATTACACGTGTGAAATTCGATTATTGTTAATAAATTTCTAATCGCGACAGGACCGCAGTCTGTACAAATATAAGGTATTATATAATTAACAATTTAATAAATTTATCTCGTGTGCAAATACGTAGAAGTCTCGTCTCGCGTGAAAATGATAAATGTTTAATTACAATATGCAAAATTTATACACATGAGCGAAATCGTATATTAAAATAACAGATACTTCTTGACAGCCCTCTCGGAGAATCATAATCGCAAGTATTGCCGCGGTAATGTGTATACTTTGAATCAGTGGATTCGCGATACATCTGTTAAAAAAATATGTATTAAAAAGACGATTAAATTTTTAAATCTCTTAACCGCATTTTTACCATAGTGGCGTTACAAAAATAAAGAAAAAATTGTGTTTTTCTTGCTTATTATTTGATGTGTTCTTATTACATTGTCAAAATTATAGAAATATTCTGCCATATTGTATGTACATTTATCGAAGACACACATCGTTTAGTAATTTTGAATAATTTATGACTCGCCTTAATTGTAACTGTGCAATGAATCATTAAAAAACTGCTCTAAATTTATGCGAGGACGATATATTTTGATATACGAGGAAACAGAATACTTTTTTCTATTTATATTATATACCGAAATGTACAGATAAAATGAGAAGATTCTATTAAGGTCGTATTCTGATTTTGATCTCGAAATACACGCAATAATGTATTACAATTTATACAATTAAATTAGATGTATTTTCTCGTTGAGTAGTTAATAATGCATCACAAGCAATGCATCACACATAAAGTAATTAAAGTAATTTGACTCAATGACTTTTTCTTGTATTTTTGTATACTTTGATATAAATTGTTTTTTTAATACACGAAAGTTTGAGAAATCTACTAAAATATACTGAATGATCGATTCTTCCTCATTTCTGCATTATTTTAGATTAATCATGTCTAAAAAAAAAACATTACAAAAAAAACTTTCTCCTCGCGATAGTAAACATGAAACAAGATTACATGACCTACATTACGTGAAATTAGCTTTTTATCTGATATATAAAAGATACACTCTGAAATATAAAATTTCGTGGAAAAACACATTAATTACTATCAATAAAAATTTAGCTAATGACTGATAATACGCACAGTGTTTTGATTGCGTAGAAATTCAAATTCGAGATGCAAAAATCACTTTTCTGTGCATGAAATTGAATTTCATGGACTCTCTCGCTTTACACGAGACTTTTTAAAGTACGAAGCATTGGCACTCGCATATCTCTTTACGTAGATTTCAAAGATTTAAGCGCGAAGCCATCCCTCTCAAAGTGTCTAATAGATCGTCTGAATTGCGTTATTCAATGATATAAAATATGAGAGGCATGTGACACACGATCGTTTTTTTCTCATCGATCTGCTTCTTATACGGTTAATTCAGGTGACGAGGTACCGGTCAGCGAGTGCTTGGGAAATTCTTTAATAACTCTAACTCGGACGATATATTGTGCTGAATTTATGTATGAATAACATCGAAACACGCGAAATCTTCTCTTTAATTATGCTATTACATTGTGCGGGAAATTAAACAGATGGAATATTTGACATGACTGAATCCCATGTTCCCATTTCATAGCACATGTTTACGATAAAGAGAAAGAGAAAGAATAATATATCCTACTCTATCTTATAGTATATAATATGTATTAACTTGTTAAAATTGTATTATTACCACATATACAATATTTTGGATCAGATTATTGTAAATATTTCATTGCATTTTTTGAATAAAATAAAAATGTATGCACGTGCAATACTATTGAATATGTAAGATTTAAAGTATTGTTAAATACGTAAATTTTATGTAAATATAATAAATGGTTTAGCGGTTGTAATTTTTATCACATAACGGATTTAAATTGTTTATTACTCTCATTATTATTATCGTGTTTCTAGACTGTCAAAACTTAAAATTGTATTATCATCACATATTGTAACGTGCCGTCTAGACATTTATAGAATTAACGCCGATTTCGATTTATAACTAAAATATGATATCCAATATCTGCATGGAAAGGGTTATTCAAAAACATTTGTTTAAAGACGATTATTAATATATTAACTTTCTTTAATTTTTAATTAAAAATATCCTTATGAATATCTTAAATTACTATTGATTAAAATACAAAATACAATTAAAAAATCTTGAAACAAGATTTTGTTCTCCATCAACGACCTTGAGAAGCATGATCCACCGAAATACTTTTTAATATTACATTATCCGAATTTGCTCGAGACTTTATTAGAAAATGTTAATTGACTTTGAAACTTAAGCCAGTTTATATTCTGCAACGAATACATTTGGCGTAAAAATTTTCCCTTGCTCGACCACATTGATATAATGCTCTTTGGTCCTAGCACTATTCATATTCATACCTCGCGCATGCGAGTTTACCCGACGTATCCGTGTTTTTGATTTAATGAATAAACGATACCTGGCGGAATTGTTGCGAATTTAGGTCGAAGTACCCACCATTCATTTATTCTATTATTATGTTCATATCGAGTTTGTATCGACGATTATCAAATTATATACATACATTGCGTGCAAATTACGTCACGCGATCGAAATTGTATATTATTCTGGTCTATCCCCTCTTCTCCCTCTCTTTCCTCTCCCCATCGACAGTATAATCGATGCGAACGATGTTAAAATACGATAATTATATGTATAGCCGGTACTTTAAACGGAAGTGATAATTAAAGAACGTTTTTTTATTGACATATAGATTGAAAGCTTTCATTACTGATGTTATCTAGAGCTTTATTATTAAAGTATATTAACATTAGCTGAGAAAAATTGTCAGATTAAACTCAAAATATAATACAGAGAGGAAAGTTCTTTCGCGCTTGCGTGTATAAGTTAAAAAGTAGAAATAAATATATACATGAATAAGGATTTTTCAACTATATCGCGCAGTTTATAGAGGCATTTTTTTCCCAGCGTGCAGAAAGATTCTGCTATGTTAATTTTGAGTAAGGTATATGCGTACTTACCGTGCACATCTGGTTTAATATCAACTGCGAGAGGCTCCACAAGGGCAATATTGTTGACTTTACACGTGAATGTTACGCCCAACTCTTCCCGTGTAATTTGCATCTCTAGCAAACTACTGCCAGTGCCTGACCCGGTATCAGTGATGGTCGACGAGCTCGTCGCTGAAATAGAACAGTTTATATTTCTTGACAAGCACGTCTCAAGAGAGAGAATGGATACCAGTTATATATTTTAAAAGGTCGCGTTAATTTAGAATGAAGCATATTTCGAAATGCGTGGCAAAAAATTGTGATGAAAGGACTGAACATTTATTTTTACTTAAAAACGCATATAAAATTAATAATTAAATAAAATTAGAGAAGAATGAATCTTTGATAATATTATTGTCATTATCGATAATTGATTAATATAGAATTAATAAATGCTAAAGTTTCTCTTGTCTTCCAATGTCCGCGCTTGAATAATGGTTCAATGATAACGATACATTTTAATTCATATAAAATTTCACTGGAAGTAAAATTATACATTTTAATTTCATTCACACACACACACACACACATATTTTAATTAGAATATTATATTTAGATAAAGTCGCATTCGGTTCAGTTATATCGCATAACTGGAAATATTAAGATATCAAACCGGTATCATAAGTCTATAAATACACGGGTGAATTTGTTATAATCAATTTCTGATACAAGTAGAATTAAAAAATTGCCAATTATATGACTGTAATTATATACTATAATTTCTCGACCAAACTCCGATTAATTTAGTCGATTAATTTGATAATGCCTATTTTGTTAATGTAAATAAAATTATAAATTTTTCATTGTTTCATACATGAAAAAAAATTAAATTAGGAACAACACGAATTATATAATTAGAAATTTTGCTGTAATTTCGTCAATTGAATTAATCGCTGATTAAATTAATCAGAGTTTAATCGGAATAGTCTTAAATAAGAGTTTATATCTTTCTCATTAATTGAAAAAAATAAACTATATGTGTTCTGTTTAATTATGTTTTCTTAGTTTGAATTTCTTCAAAAATGCGCATGAATTTAACAGATTTATCCATTCTAGAGAGAAGATATAAGATACATTATAAATCTTACCTTCAAGTAGTTGGTCATCTTTAAACCACTCCACTGTAGGTACAGGTTTGCCTTTGCCGCTCTCGCAATATAGAGCTATTGTCGATCCCTCGTTTATAGGTCCTAAAGTGGCACCGGTACTCAAAGTATTCTTCGTATTTTCATCGATGACACGTACAAACTTCGGTTGCACTAGAACATACATAAACACATTCATATCAAAAACTGTTTTATTCTATGAATTTTCACTGCTCATTTTTACCGCGTAAGTTTAAGAATTTTATTATAGTAATTTTTTTTTTCTCTCTTCATATATATTGCGATGGATCAATGCATTCATAATTATAACACTTTTTCTTCCTTGACATTAAAAATATGTCTACACGATAAAAAACAGTACATTGGTTTTCTACTTTTCATCCGAATAAATGCATTCTTCAAATAAGAGCCCTTTGATAAAATAAAAGTTATATTACATTACAAAATTTCTTGACAACAAGAATGTTTATTATTACTATGCTTAGAATAACTACTCCGCGGAAAACTATCCGTTTTGATATTGAGGAAAATAACACGAACGCTCGAAAAAAATACTATATTTTGATATAAGTAAAATATTTATGGATATCAAACTTTTGCTCTTTTTTCTTCTGTTCTTTTTTCTTCTGCCTAAAGTTATATGCGAATTGATTGTTTCAAAAAATATCAACGTCAACACAAAAATTTAATCTATTGTTTTGCGTCTGTATCCTATAAATAACGATATCCCGAGTGCAGTGTGGAAATTAATAAATGTGAATCGGCATTTTTGAACGTTTCGTCTCATGTAAATCGATACGATTTATATATATTTGCTACATATATCCTCCGGCTTAGGAAATAGATACAAATCCCATCATATCTTACACCTGTCGCGCAAATGCCATTCCCTCTGACGTTACTATATCCGGCAATTCCCAAAATTCGCTATTTTTTTATAGAATATCAATTTATATTTATACAACGTTGCAATTCATTTATATTAATTAGGATTTGATTATTATATAGTATACTGGGTTACTGTAAAATGATAATTTTATCGATTCGAGAAGTTTCTTCTCTTACGATATATACTTTTTTACAATAAGCGATTTAATTACGATATTTAGAAAAATGTTACCGCAATCCAATTCATCCCGTCCAATTCAACACGTTCGATCTGATAGAGCCTTGCCTTTTCGCGCGACGGAAGTAAAGTGACGAGTATTGCATGCGGTGAAATTTTAAACCACTTATATCGATTTTCTGGCGCTCGAAGAGTGCCCTAACTTTCTACAATTCCTACGGGAATAAAGTGACTGCCACTTATCGAACAGGTGCCATGTTCTTAGGACATTATAAATCAAATCCCTGGGAACACCGACTGAAAATGCACTCAGACCACAGTGTTCTAGTACCCTGGTTGTCGATGTTACATTTACGAATGTCTATACAAATACGCACACACGCGAGACGTTTGCATGCTGCGTGCAAATGTATCCGGAGTAGCACCACAGGTGCTTATACGCGCAAATACTATTTTTAAGGATAATCATATGGCAAAAGTGAATTATGATGAGTCATTATTAGTGAATAATGGAAAGTACAATACATCTATTGATATAATACCGCCACGTGCATATGCATATAAATAGTTTATAGAACAAGCTTTTGTTATATTTGCCATATTGATGCGAGAAATTATTCATCTGCTAAAATTATATGAAGAGGTCAGAAAATTTATATAGACATGACATATAATGCCATTTATGTATTTTTTGAATTCTCAGATGAGTTATATTATCGTTATATGACATGTGTGTGACATGCACGTTTTACAGAAAGACTAAAATTTATTTGGTAGTGTGACTTTATTTTCTATTAAAACATCGTGATGTTTTAATAATTTATTATTTTAATTTGACAAATTATTTTTGCTTTTCCACCAGCGAATTTACATATAAATATAAAATTACTACACTGATACAGTAACTCGATATACATGTATATAGACAAATAAAATCTAAAAGTAGAATCTAGAAATACACGATAAAAAAAACTCTGTTGTCTCGTGTTGTCTTCTTTCTAAATCATCGTGTTATAGAGATTTCAATTTAGCGTTATAGTAAACTGTAAATGAAATTTTGAAAAAGTGGTTGAAAGAACGATACAAGATGTAAACAGCAGAAGGTGAATATCTTTAAATCCTGAAAGATATTAGACTCAATTGTTTGATTTTTAAAATGTTAACAACACAGACTTCTATATTATATGATACCTAGACTGTTAATCGCGATGTGACAGGCAACCATTTATAATTGGGCAGAATATGACCAATCAATACTTATTTTTGGAGGGAAAGCTGCAATATTTAATATAGCTTTTATATTAAATATATACAAAATTTTTATATTAATATTGCAGTTTTTCCTTCAAAAATAACTTCTGTTTTAACATATATGTTGTAAGCGTTCAAAATTTATATTTGCTATAATTGTTGCAAGAAAAGTTTGCAAATACATATTTTATATTATCATTATGATATAAAATAGAACAAGAAATTTTTAATCATTCAAATTTTATGGCTGCACTTTTTAATTTAAATGTGGCTTCATAAATATTGTCAAAACAAATAAATTTTTCATAATATGCATTTGAGGGATAGAAATAAGGTATCAGTAATATATAAAGAGTAATCTCGCAATCTTTTTAACATATGCACACAGTAATAGTAATTACGCTTTTTTAAGCTTAAATGATTTTTAATAATCTCGTGTTGTATTTGTCGAATTCATCTGGACAACAACTTTATATTAATATATGTATAGATAAATATATAAATAAATATAAAAGTGCACATACAAATTTTTTTCGTTTAGCAAACGGATTTTAAGCGATCTCAGAATTACTGAAGGATCTAATGTATAAAATACCAAGATATACTTTATTTCGCAAAAGGGTGAATTTTGCATATTCTAATACATATTTTAATATATCGCCATCGTTGAGATACATTCGATAATATAAAATAAGGTCGTCATCCTTAAGCTTAAGAGAGCATAAATATATTATCAATTGTTCAAATTTTAAAATCAAGTTTCTCGAAAACGAAGCTTGATACAAAAAGATTTTATTCAACATTTTCGATTTATTTTTTACACGAGAAAAATCTTCCTTCTTGGTTATATTATGTTTTCTAGCTGCATATATGTGTGTTGCATTTTGTAATATCAAAATAACTCTTTTCAGCGAAACTCATCTCGCGAATTCGCGGGCGATTACATTCGCATACGTCATCGCGTGTAATTTTAATTTGCCTTGGTGAATCGAGGAAATTACGTCAATGCTCCGTTGATACAAGGCAGAAAACAAACATTTACTTCTCTTTGCTTTTTTTCTGCAATATCGGAAAAATTTGCGTTCCTTTTTGCGAAATATGATATCAATAAGTTGATACGGTTTAACGGGGTATAATGATAAGCTGTGAAGATGACTTTTTGTAGAGATATCATATTTTGCAAAGCAAAAGAGAGATTTGTTATAAAGTCAACTAACGAGTTTTAAATTGTCAATGGATATATGATGAAACGCGACGCGCGCGGTTCGTTAAGCAATTCGTTAACGAATTGCTATATAAATCTTTTATTTTCGCAGAATAATATTTTTTCGTTGTGTTCGAATTTAGATTACGACAAATTAGATTGAATGATCTCCATACGTACTCTTTATCGTTAGAAGTTAATGCCTTGACGTTAAACATTTTAATTTATTCCAGTAGATTAGAAGTCTTCTTAATTTCGCGTTAATTATACAACGCGCTATTCGAAATAACTCTTGACGCATGCTTTAATAAGATGCAAATCACGTTAAATCAGAATGAGTTGAAGTTAATAGGCTATAACGAGCGCTCATCCAATCAGAAGCGCGCTGGCTAACTTTATGCTCCATATTCTCGAAGGCTACAATTTGCAGTCGTGGAGAAGGTTTAATTGGGTCGGTTGCGAGACAAGTGGTACTTCATAAGATTCGAATGAACCGAGTGGTTCTCCAAACCGATCGCAACTATTCGTATCCACTTTTACTTAATAAATGATTCAACTAAACTGTGAACTAAATCATTGCACGTATATATATTGAAAATACATTAGACATGTCATTGTAATAATTGATGATATCTTGCCGAATTTTTGTCATATTTTATATCCAATATTCAAGGCCTTAAATTTTGAAATAATCTTTGCCTTTAATCTTTTAAATATCCTATAATTCCAGTTGCAACCTATTACGGAAAATTAATCCATTAGTTGACAATTAAATGATATAATAATTATTATTAAATGATATAATAATATATATTTTTGTAAGTAATTTTACAATAATGATATATATATGTAGTATGCTGTTTTTTTTAATAATAGCTTTTAATCACAATATTTTTTTTTTTGCTATAAGCGTAAAAATTCAGAGAGTGAAGTTGTTATTTAAATAAGAAATTAATATTTTATTTTAATTTTTAATGATATTTTCATCTTTTGCTGCTTTTAATTATACCAGATTATTACATGGTGTAATTTTGTGTCATACATTATACGAAAACATTGAAAAATATGTTTATTTCTTCGTGATAAAAATAAAAGCTTTTGCGGTTACAGTATTTTAAATTTATATATTTTAGCTGCATTAAAATATTAATATCTGACATTTTGAATTTACTTTATATATAATTTTCTATACATTATTTTATTTATAATATATAACATATTTTTTATTTTTAAATGGATAATATTCTTAAATAAAAGAGCCGAAGACTACAATAACTTTCTTTATATAATGAGACAAATCTTCTTTTTACAATTTTAATTAAAATTATTCAACTAAATTGAAAGAGCTGAAAAAATTCTTTATTTCTCTCTTCTTTTTATTAATATTTCATTTGTTTCTCTCTTCTTTTTATTAATATTTTAAAAAATGCGCTAAGTGAGTTTGAGAAAATTAGGAAAAACAGGTAATTTCTGTAACAGCTCTTTCTTCTGGACATAATAGAGATACGTACGAATCTCCACACTCATGCACAAAGGTTAAAACGTAAAAAATTTATTACCTTTGTTAAATTAAATGGAAAAAAGTTCCTCTGGCAAATGTCAAATAATGTAAATCTACCTGCAACCGTGAGA